CTGTTTTGCCCTCTGAGCTCCATGTGTGGGAATGGATCAGGCCCTGGGGGTCTTTAGGGCCCAGTTTCCTTTGTTCAAACTTTAATTGTAACCTGACCCTCCTTTAAAAATGTAAAATAGAATTTGAGTGTATTCAGAAGTACAAATAGTCCGGGGAAATTATAACCATTTGGTGCTGTGTGAATGGAGATGTAGGTGAGTCCCTCACGTCAAAGTATTTGATTTTTATGAGGGGGGGGTTGTCTTGACTGCAGCAGAGATGAGGAGAAGTAGTCACACTTCCTACTGGGGGGGCTGCTGCTCTGTGCCGGGGGGCAGGGGGCAGCAGGGAGAGGGGGCCATGTGTCCGCAGATGCTTACAGGTTCCTCTGAACGCAGGCCCTGTCCCGGTCTCCTGGCCAGGAGGGTTTGGGTCACACTCCAGCTCGGTGTTCACCCTGCAGAGACGCTTGTCTCCTGATGGGTCGCCCGTTCTGCTGGGCATGCCTGAGGGCTAAGTGGGCACTTCTCAGAATTGAGGGGGAATGTATGCTCTTCACAGGACTGATGACTACGTTACGGTTTATGCCTCGGATGACAAGAGGAAATGTGGTTGGTCATAAACGTGGGGGCAGTCTCCAGATGGGAGGGATTCACCCCAATACTGAGAGCGCCTACTGCTACTTTTGTTTACTTTTTGGAAACCTGAAAAGGGGGCAAGCAGCTACTGGGTTTGCAACTTGTCCCCGGCCAGTGGCCCCTGGTGCCCTGGCTGCCTGTGCACCCGGCGGCTCATATGTCCTTCCCGCCGCTGGACTGCCCCGACCTGTCCCGGTCTTTGTTCAGGGTGGGTTACTTCACCAGGTTTCCGTCTCCGTGTCAGGCTCATCTGCGGGGTAGACGAGTCACCAGATGCCCACCTCGCATACGTCGTGCCTGATGTCCTTTCTTTTCTGCTCCCACGGGTAGCCCTGGGGACACTTATTACCCGTTTCGTTTCCGAGTCCTCTGTCAGCATGCCTTGTCTTAGGTGTTCCTTGTCACAGCGAACCGGTGGGGTGTTTCAGCGCCTCTGACGGCCTATGAGCCGCCTGCTCCCGTGAGTGTCAGATGCCTGGGAAAGACATCGGGGCCTCAGGTTAAGCACTTGGAGCTTCTGTGCGGCCGGCAGGAGGGCCAGATAGACAGCGTTTCCTTGCCAACAAGTCCCAGGAGCCACGGCTACCAGCCTGTGCTTTCCCAGCACACAGCATGGGGCTGTGTCTGGCAGTGAGCTGAGCGTGGACCTCTCGGGTGCCCGGGGACACTCCGGGAGCTGCCGGCCTGACCTGTGCCACAAGGCCCTTTCCATGTCGGCCGCCTTTCCCCAGGGACAAGAACACAGAACCCAGGAGCCCGCCTTGCATACGTTGTCCAAAGTTGTGGGGCCAGGCTGGCTCGTCAGGGGGAGACCTCCCTACTCCCCCCTCCCTCTCTCTCCAGGCACCTTGGGTGCTGGGCAGCCATGTCAGGGCCTGGCCCAAGTATCCTCTAGATCAGGGGTAAGGAACCTTTTTTCTGCCAAGGGCCATTTGGATATTATTTATAACATCATTCGTGGGCCATATAAAATTATCAACTTAAAAATTAGCCTGCTATACTTGTTTTTTGTTTTTAACAACTCACCCTAATACCTTGGCAGGGCCAGACCAAATGATTTCTGGGCCCTATACTGCCCGAGGGCTGGATGTTACCCACCCCTACATTAGACAAAGCCTTAATAAAATACCAGAGGCTTGTCCTAACTGGTTTGGCTCAGTGGATAGAGCGTCGGCCTGGG